ATCATTTTTTTTATTTTAACGCAAAAAATATCCAGAGTTTCCCGGGCAACGCACGGCATTAGTATTTTTTTTAAAAAAATAACAGAGAAAATCGAAAGCAGTTCATTTCTTGTTGCCGTTAGAAATGGCTACGTGTTGTATACATGTATACTGATTCTATGTACTGCACACCACGTAAGTTTTGGTTGGTCTTGGCGAGTCAATTGTTTGTGTCGCTTCAATCATCCGCACTGGTGTTCACACCGTTTCACGGTAGCAGCAGACGAAGTGACATTCACTCATTCTGCACACGCACACTCGAATGGCTGACGTGGACGGACATGAAGCGCGACGCGAAGCAGACGTTGCCAGCGTCAACGACGCGCAGGAGCAGCAATTGGTGAGTGTCGGCCGCCTACATACCGGTGTACAGCAGCTTCTGGCCGCTGTGAGCACCACCAACGCACTGAAGACGCACCCTGCTCTTCAAGCGCTAGCGACATCTATTCCTACAGTCGAAGAGCATGACCACCACTCTGTGGCTCGCACGCAGCTGCAGGCGCTGGCTTCGTGCCTTGCTCACGCCGAACTACGCGTCCTGATCGTGAAGCACCTACGGCCATTCTTGCTGGACATGATGGTGCGGCTCACTGATCCGGCGCTCCCGCTATATGAGCAACAACAGCAACAGTACAGCGAATGCGCTGACAGTATGAAGCGCAGTGAGCTCCTGGTTGCCACTCTGGCCGAACTATTGACCTACCTGCCGGCCACGAGCACTTTAGTGCAACAATACTTCGAGACGGCGCCATGCTTCTTCGCATTTGCGGACGTCGTGGCCACGCAGAAGCAACAGAGTGACGAGACGCTCGTCAGACTGCGTCGTATCGCCAAGACGGCCTTCCAGCTGCTGAGAGCGAGACCCACGGAGCTCACAGCGCTCTGGAACTGGACATCGTTCTTCCCGCTCAGTTTCCACGACGACGTGCACGTGCGATGGTATGCAGCGCGTGCCACAGCTTTGGTATTGAAGATGAGCAATGCCCAGAGAAACACTTTTCTCGATGGATTGAAGGTTGGTGAGGACGCCGCTGTGAGTGGAAACAGTCCGGCTGTGCGGCAGATTGAGCTGGAGCTGCACAGCGAGGACGCAACTCGACAGGAACAGCTTATTGAACTGAGTGTATACCAGCAACAGGATGCGAATGAAGTCGCACAGACACAGCCCGTGCCCTTCCATGATTCACTTCAGAACATTTTCGGCGTGGTCGTCCCGACAAGCAAGCTGCACCAGCAACGCCACGAGTCAGAGGAATCTTCGATAGCCACCGAACCACTGGTACCCACGCCATCAACCAAGCGGAACTTGCAGTCGCTGGCTATTGCGCTTGGTCTGAAGCGTCCGATCTTGGTGGCAGGTCCAGGTGGATGCGGCAAGACTGCTACGATTCGAGAACTTGCTCGGCTGTCGGGCAACAGTGACATGGTGGAGCTGCATTTGGACGACCAGATAGATAGCAAGACGCTGTTGGGGTCGTATGTGTGCACAGATGTGCCAGGCGAATTTGCGTGGCAGCCTGGCGCACTTACAACTGCTGTGCTTGCTGGCCGGTGGGTCGTTATCGAGGATATTGATCGTGCACCATTCGAGGTGCTTGCAGCGCTCATGCCGCTGCTTGAAACGCGCGAAATGGTTCTCCCTGGTCGTGGTGAACTGCTGGTGGCACACTCGAACTTCCAGATTTTTGGTACGACGACGCACGGACACCAAATGCCTAAGGGGTTTCAGGAGTCTGTCTGGACGAGCGTCGGCGTTGCACCACTTGCAGATAGCGAGATTGAGCAGATCATGCTGACTCGGTTCACGAAGATCCCGCAACAGGTCGTGTCCAAGATGATGACCACGTACAACGCCGTTTCTGGCAACACGAGCGAAGAGATCGGTGGTTCTGCACAGCTCTGGAAGGAGACAAGGCGGAACTACGGGCGCGATTTTTGTCTACGTGACTTGCTGAAGTGGTGTAAGCGTATCTATCGGTTCTGTTACTACGCTGCTGGTGCTACGGGTGATAACTCATCTTCTGGTCATGATTATATTACTGAGGACGAGCGTATGCGCATTGTGGTGGAAGCTTTGGATGTGTTCTGTGCCGGTATTCGAGACGCGAAGACCCGCTTACACTCGGCTTGTGCGCTGGCGGCGATTTGGGACGTGCAGTCCGAGAAAATTGAGTACTACCTGGAGCAGCATAAACCTCACGTTACATTCAGCACACATGAAGTAGAATTTGGACGCGTTCACCTGCCGACGCTGTCACAACAGGCTCAGCTTGAGCAAGGTGACAAGCCTGCTACGAGTTCTGTGGTGATGACTGGGCACGTGCTGCGTTTGCTGGAGAAGATGGCTGCTATTGTAGCGACCTGTGAACCAGCGTTGCTTATCGGTGAGACTGGTTGCGGTAAGACGACAATCATTCAGCACATGGCAGCGGCTATGGGGCAGCGTCTGGTAGTGCAAAATCTGAATATCCAAAGCGATAGTTCCGATCTCGTGGGAGGTTTCAAGCCTGTGGAGATTCACCTGCTCGCCCGGCCATTGTACATAGACTTTGTGGATCTGTTTACAGCTACGTTTTCGCAGAAGAGCAACGCTGGCTTTCTCAACGTGGTTCGGATAGCACTGGAGCACAAGGACTGGAAGAAACTTGTAAAAGGCATGCGGAAAGCCATCCAAATGGCCACGTCCAAGCTCCAGGGCAGCAGTGGTGCTGACCGTGACGTAACGGAGTCAGAAAGTGGTGGGAGTAATAAGATGTCGGCAGCCGGCACTTCGACGAGTGTTTTGGTGAACCGATGGGATACTTTTGAGGCTGAGCTGGTGCGATTCGAACGGCAGAAGGAGCAGGCGGAGTCGCACTTTGCATTTTCGTTTGTGGAGGGTGTTCTAGTCAAAGCGCTGCGAGAAGGTCATTGGGTGCTGCTCGATGAGATCAATCTTGCATCATCTGATACGCTGGAGCGCATTAGTACGTTGCTGGAGCATGAGACGAGTGCCTTTTCTCTCACAGAGCGCGGAGATGTCGAGATCATCCGCCCGCATCCGAACTTTCGTCTCTTTGGTGCTATGAATCCGTCAACTGACGTCGGTAAGAAGGACCTGCCCCCTTCTCTCCGCAATAGATTCACGGAGATCTACGTTGATGAGTGCGTGGATCCTTCAGACTTGCAGATGGTTGTCCACCACCAGTTCAAGGAGATCTCCGGCGCTCTGATACCAGAGACGGTTGAATTCTACCTGGAGGCAAGAAAGCAAGCGGAGCTGCGATTGAGCGATGGGGCCCGCCACAAACCCCGCTACTCGTTGCGAACGTTGAGTCAGGCACTGCATATCACGCGCATTTTGATTCAGCGAGGCTATGGCACATCTCGCGCGATGTTCGAAGGTTTCTGCTCGAGTTTCTGTACACAACTTGAGATGGAATCGCGTCAGTATCTCGAGAAACTCATCAAGAACACATTCGCAAAGACGATCAAGGCGAAGGAGCTTAAACGCTCACCACCCTGTCCTGGTGGCTCGAAGAGGACGAATGAGTTTGTGTTGGTGAGCTCGTACTGGGTCCAAAAGGGTGAGTTCCAAGATCCGAGGGACGATTCACTACCAAACCCGGTGACTTCTCGACGGAAATTTGTACTTACGAAGTCAGTAGAAGAGAATCTGCGTCACGTGTCACGTGCAGCTTTAATCGGCAAGTATCCCGTGCTGCTGCAAGGCCCCACGTCTGCTGGTAAGACGTCGCTGATCGGGTATCTGGCTGCACGCATTGGACAAAAGTGTGTGCGTATTAACAACCACGAGCATACGGACATCCAGGAGTATCTGGGAAGCTACGTCTCGGATTCCAATGGCAAGCTAACGTTCAAGGAAGGTGTGCTGGTGGAGGCTGTTCGTAAGGGTTGGTGGGTCATCCTGGACGAGTTGAATCTGGCTCCGTCTGAAGTTTTGGAGGCTCTTAATCGTCTTCTGGATGACAACCGCGAGCTGTTCCTACCCGAAACGCAAGAGACAGTGAAGCCTCATCCGAAGTTCATGTTGTTCGCGACGCAAAACCCGCCAGGACTCTACGGAGGCAGAAAGGTGCTTTCTCGCGCGTTCCGGAATCGATTCCTGGAGATCCAAGTGGATGAAGTGGCGTCTAGCGAGCTTCAGACGATTTTGCAGGAGCGCAGTTCGCTGCCCCCGTCGTATTGTGCCATTTTGATTGACATCATGCGGCAACTGCAGCTCGTTCGGCAGCAGTCGTCAGTCTTCGCTGGTAAATCGGGCTTCATCACTACCCGTGACTTGCTTCGTTGGGCCGAACGTCGACCGGCGACTAAACAGGCTCTAGCAGAGGAAGGATACTGTTTGCTGGCCGAGCGGTTGCGGAAGGATGAGGAGAAGGAAGTGGTCAAACAAGTGCTGGAGAAGAAGTGCAACGTCAAGATCGACCTGGATGCTCTGTACTACAGCGGCAAGCCCCGCGAGTCAAATCTGCTGAACGAGAACGGAGAGATTGAACAGGAGACAGTGTGGGGCACCAAGGAACAGTTTGAACGTGTCCAAGCGATGGTGGAGCAGGCTATTGAAGAAACCGCCACCGGCAAGTCCAGCAACGGTGAGTCCAAGTCAGCAGGCAATGCAGCAGGTTTGGAAAAGATCAGTGTGACCAAGTCACTGCGAAGACTTTTTGCTCTTGTTGGACGCTGTTTGCAGAATGAGGAGCCTGTGCTTCTGGTTGGAGAAACTGGTTGTGGCAAGACTACGGTCTGCCAGTTGTACTCGCTGCTGTTCTCACAGCCTCTTCACATTTTGAACTGTCACCAGCATACTGAGACGTCGGATTTCCTCGGTTGCTTGCGTCCTGTGCGAGGAAAAGAGAAAACCGCACACGAGTTGGAAGAAGCGCTTGTGAGATTCTTTGCGCTGAGTGACGGATGTATCGATGAACAGGAGATCGAGAAGCGCCGAGCAGAAGTCAAGTCATTGGGTGTTAGTGCGTTGCTGGCCAAGTACGAAAATGTTCGTGGTGGTGTTGTGAGTGGTGATTCAATACCCCAGAAGGAACTTGTTGAGCAAATTGACCTGCTGAAGCGTCGATTCCAGTCCATCTTCGAGTGGGCGGACGGTCCTCTGGTGGAGTCCATGAAGAATGGCGATTTGATTCTGATCGATGAGGTGAATCTTGCCGAAGATGCTGTGCTTGAACGTCTGAACAGTGTCCTGGAGCCGTCGCGTACGCTGCTGCTAGCCGAGAAGGGTGGAGACCAAGTGGAAGAGATTGTAGCTCACTCGAAGTGGCGTGTGATGGCAACGATGAACCCTGGTGGTGATTTCGGTAAGCGCGAATTGTCTCCTGCTCTGCGCAACCGTTTCACCGAGATCTGGGTGCCAGCAATCTCGGACTTGGACGATATCGCCACGATCATTCGCGACAGATTAGTTGGACCTCGTGGAATTGTTTCGGTGCCTCGCACTATCCCACCAGCGGCAATGGATGAGTTAGCGTCGTTGTGTGACCCTATCCTGGGTTTCGTCAAGACTTTCAACGAGGCAAACGGTGGTTTTGGTGGATGCGGAGCTGTGACGTTACGTGACATTCTCAGCTGGATCAACTTCATCACATCCGTCGTGAAGAAACAGGAGGTCGGCTCATCGGTAAAAGTGACAGCGTGGACAGCGTTTGTGCAAGGTGCAGCCTTGTCAATTTTGGATGGTCTTGGCCTTGGCTCGGACAAGGCACTGCACACGGCCTTGAAGGCGAGAGAGGAGGCGTATCGCTACTTGCTGGCTTTGGTGCCAGATGAGGACCACCTGGTCAAGCAAAAGGTGATCGACTCGCTGAATGTCACGACGTTGTCTGTCGATAACAGCATTGACCAGTTGAACTCCTTCGCTTCAGAGGAGACTGCAGAGGGGAAGTTTGGCATTAGTCCATTCCTGATCCCTCGTGGACCCGATCCTGTTCGAAGAAAGCCTGCATTCTCGTTGAAGGCCCCAACGACGATGTCCAATCTGTACCGCGTGTTGCGTGCTATGCAAGTCAGTCGTCCGATCATTTTGGAAGGATCTCCAGGTGTCGGCAAGACCAGCTTGATCAGCGCGTTGGCAGCAGCGTCTGGACATCGCCTTGTACGTATCAATCTGTCGGAGCAAACGGATATTTCCGATCTCTTTGGCTCTGATCTTCCTGCTGCGTCATCTCCGGACGACAACGTGGATGACAAGGACGGCAAACATACGAATGGTGGGAGCTCTAGCGGCATGTTCGAGTGGTGCGACGGCGTGTTCTTACGTGCTTTGAAGGCAGGCGACTGGGTGTTACTTGACGAACTTAACTTGGCGTCGCAGTCTGTTTTGGAAGGTTTGAACTCGTGTCTGGATCACCGAGGCAGTGTGTACATCCCGGAGCTGGACAGAGAGTTCGAGTGCCCGCCAACTTTCCGTGTGTTCGCTGCGCAGAACCCGCTTCGTCAAGGTGGTGGTCGTAAGGGACTGCCCAAGTCGTTCTTGAATCGATTCACCCGAGTCTTCGTTGAAACTCTGCATGAGCAGGATCTTATCCACATTGCGAGCTCAATGTACCCTACGCTGCATTGTTCAGTGGAAGAAGCGGACATGAGTGACGCTGCGTTATCTGGAAAAACGTTACTGGAGCGGATAATCGGTTTTAACCGCGCAGTGCACGAAGACACGATGGTGAGCTGCAAGTACGGCCGTCTTGGTGCTCCCTGGGAGTTCAATTTGCGCGATGTGTTCCGATTCTGTGACCTGCTTAAGCAGCAAGTGCAATTGGCAGACAATGCTGAGCACCAACTTCAGGCCTTGAGCTACTACGTTAGTTTCATTTACGTCGAGAGAATGCGCTCAGCTCGCGACCGGGAGCTGATTTCTCGTCGCTTTGAGGAGTTCTTTGGAGTAAGGCCGATGGATCTGAGTGCTGTTTCGCTTCGCATGTCGGCAGATTTCGTTGAGATCGGCAGTGCATTGCTCGAACGGCGGCAGGATATGCCAATTGGCCGTGTTGCTCCGCCACTTTTCAACTTTTTGCTGAAGCCAATGGAAGCGTTAGCGCACTGCGTGAACATGTCGTGGCCTGCTCTTCTCGTTGGATCACCAGCAAGCGGCAAAACCTCCTCGGTCCGTCTGCTGGCAGCTTTGAGCGGTAATACGCTACACGAACTGGGTATGAGTGCAGGGACAGACGCGACGGAACTGCTGGGATGCTTTGAGCAAGTGGATGTTGGACGGAAGCTGCGGGACATCAAGCACAAGATTCAACTTGTGTACGAGAAGGTGCTTCAGCAACTGATGTTGTCATCTGCATCGGCCGGTGTTACTCAGAAGAAGAGAACTGCGATTTTGAAGAAGGCTAACCGTCTCAGCAGCACATGGTGGGCTCTGACCACACGAGAGAAGTACTACAGCGAGAATGTATCTCATGGTGGCGGCAAGAAACACAAAGCGAAGAAGCTACCGAAGGGCCAACTGGATGAGGTCGTTGTCGACTTGATGCGGGACGTTGTCGCCATGCTCCAGAAAACTGAAAAGGACGAAAGTCTGTCGCTGCTTTCTGACCTGTCGAATGAAATTGACAACGTGGTGCAGCTCAGTAAGTCCAACTCCATTGCCAGTTGCTTTGAATGGGTCGATGGAACGTTGATTCAAGCGATGGAGAAGGGCGAGTGGGTGCTACTGGACAACGTCAACTTTTGCAGCTCGTCGGTACTGGATCGATTGAATTCGCTTATGGAGACTGGCGGTGAAATGCTGATCAATGAGTGCGGCATCATCAACGGCAAGCTGCGTGTGATTAAGCCTCACAAGAACTTCCGAATGTTCTTGGCCATGGATCCACAGTACGGTGAGGTGTCTCGTGCCATGCGAAACCGGTGCGTTGAGATTGCGCTGGCGGATGAAGATGCTCCGAGACTAGACCTGATCAAAATCTCTTTGGCGTGTGGAATCCCTGGCTTTGCTCTGTCTCGAGCTTTCCAATCTGCTCATGAACGTGTGGTAAACAAGCTTGGGGAGTTCATGGCAGGCTCGAAATACGGTCGTATTAATCGTCGACACTTGGAGAACTGGTCATTGCTGGCATCAGCTGAGCTTTCACGTGGAGTTCAGCCTCTGAACGCGATCGCCGAGTCTTTCCGACGTGTGTATGGCGACGGTTTGCTCGCTCAGCTTGATCTGAGCCAAGATATGCTCGAGTTATTCGTCAACGCTTTCCAAACTTCGCAGCAAAATTCGCAACACCAGCGTGTGCTCCCGATGATTGCATCACCCTCGACTTTTGTCTTGTGTCAGCAGAGCGAAAGCTTCGTGCTGCAGCGCGACGTTGCGTACCTTGAACACCTCGTGCTCTCTGCACTGACGTCCGAGAGTAGTGACGCGGACGATTTGCAGCTGAGTTGGCTTGCTGCTGATGTGAAGATCGTTAAGGGCTCACCTACGGAAGGAGACAGTAATACTGATACGTGGTTGAACAGTGTTGCCTTGCGGTGCAAGGGCGAACAGACTAGCTACTCCCAGTTGGCTCTGAAGGAAGCGTGTGAGCACCTGTCGTCGAAACAGTTCTTAGGGCTTCAGGACGTCAAGTCGCCGCTGGCGGTAACACTGGCCCCGTTCGCATTGCGTCGGATTGTTGAGGTGGCGAGTACATGCGGCAGCGTCGCAAACATCGGCTCAATGACAGCGGATCGTCTTTTATTCGCACTGGAGAAGATTGCTCGTGGAGTTGGCAATGCAAGTACGTTGCAGTCGGTTGAGTTACTTGCACGCTTCCTCCAGTCGATGACGAAGAACGACTTGTACACGGACATCTCTCGAAAGATCGACGAGACTGCACGGCGACTGACGAGCTTGCTTGACAACCCTGCCTTGCCTCCGACGCCGGTGTATCTAGCTACGAACCATGCAGCCTTTTTGCGCTTGCAATCTCTTGTTGCTGAACGCAGTGTCAATACTCCGGACAAGAAGATCGAGATTGAAGCTGCGTGGGATTCGATGCTCATCGCTCAGCGACAGCTGGAATTACTTGACGGTGTGGAGTGGCTAAGATTCTGCGAGCAGGAACAATATCGCGAAGTGGACGCTCTGTTCGCTTCGAAGGACAGCAAGCAGAAGCGCAAGCGAGACTCTCGTCGACTGGACAAGCTGTCAGTGCTGCAACAGTCCTATGCTGTGCACAAGTACCATGCTGACCGTTCCAACGTCGATAACGAGCTGACGTTCTTGGTTCACCCGCTCCTGAACACGTTTGATATGTTTCTGTCAGCGTTCTTTGGAGACTCTTCCAGTGTGACGATGAATCCAGAATTCTTCGAAGCTGTTCAAACTGTGGTGCGGGACCGCTTTGAGTTTTCGATCCAGTTGCGAATGCAGGTCTTCGAGTGGACACACTTCCTGATCCACTGGCAGTGGTTGAAGAAGTCGCTGTTGCGATTTGGGAAGCTTATTGCGCAACACTCATTCGCGTGGACGTCTCAGTGGAATAACGTGGTGGATATGTCCGAGCGCATGCAGGCTACGATCGAGAAACTCATCGGCTGCGAGTCAAGGAAGAACGTGTTGTGGAAGAAGGGAGGGCACTCGCTGCTTCCGAATAATGCTGACCTGTGGAAGGCTGAGTATCTGCTGAACCGACTATCCAAGACGTTTATGCAAGTCAACTCGACGTCCTTCTCAGCTCTGTCTGTCGGCGCTGCTGGGGGCCCTACGGACGGCAGAGTTGATGTATTGGCGCTGCTCTTTGGTGGGGTGGCTTCAATGGAAGCTGCCATGAAGAGCGGCAAACTGGACGTGTCTTCGCTGTTTTACGTGGATGTCGACACTCGCAAGGAAGTGTTACATGCGCTGTGTGCGTTCTCGTACCTCGCTCAGGAGCAAACGCGCGGCAAGAAGGACAGTACATCTACAAGTAAGCGGCCACATGCGCTCATGGCGGAGGAGCTGTTCAAGCTTCCAAGTGTGCTGCTGAAGAAGCTGCAAGACAAGCAGTCGGAGATGACGGAGCTTATCTCGAAGAAGACGTTGTATCTGAGTGAGATTGAGGACAACGTCGACAGCCACGTGGATCTACTGAGCGAAGAGGATAGTCGTATCGGCAAGGATGCACCCATTCTGCTGTTCGACATGAAGGGGAGTGCGCTGTTGATGGAGCGTATGGTAACGTTCCAACTGAGTCCATTGCTTGAACACGCTCTAGCTCGTCAAGAGCTCCAGGCGATCACGAAGCTTGTGCACGTGCTGAACATGTATCGCCTGTGCAGGAGCGATTTGTCTCAAACGAGATACAAGGAGGTTGTGAAGGCTGTCTCGGACGTGCTGAACTTGCTGGAAGGCATCGTTGAAGAACTCCTGCGCCTCGGACTGCGTGATCCTGCTTGCTTTTATGCCTACCAAGACATTTTGTGGTGTGGACACAAGTTTGTGTCTCTGGAAATCACCAGCAAGACCCAAGAGGAACAAAAGACAGAACTGGAAAGATTCGTTTCTGTGGTTCAGACACACTTGAATGGCGTGTTGTTTGGCTTCCACGAGTTCTTGCGTTGCAACAGCTTCAACCAAGTGGATCTTATCTCGCTGGAGATATTCGACACTCGACGGAAGTTGAAGAAGGCTAACAAGCGCGTCCCTGCTACGAGTACTGAAGTTGCTGATCATTCTCAGGTCGTTGCAGGCTACCCACGTTTGTTCCAAGCCGTCCAGAGTGCAGTTGTACTGAAAAGCATCGCAGAAGTGGATCTGGAAGAGTCCATGTGTCCTACCAGCGAGGCACAGATGCGTGCTGCTCGGTTGGAGAAAATCAAGAGCCACTTCGCATCGGAACAGACCCAAGCAGGAAAGATGATATTGAGCACAAGTATCTCGTATGTGAGTGAGCTATTCGTGGCCACTGTGCTTGCCTTTGAATCATCATTCCCGTCTGCGCAGTGGGAGGAGATTCAGCCCCTCCTTCTCCAGTTTGCACATACGTCTCAGACGTTTGACGGCAAGACCCAAGCAACATTGCTCAAGGCGTTACGAACTTCCAGCGACAACACGTTTTCGACGCTAATTGACACACTTGTGGTGCCGCTGATGACGTCTTTAACTAAGGCAGCAAAGGAACAACACAGTGGAAGCCGAAGTGCACTTGGAGAGAGTATGGTTATGCTGGGATTGTGGCGCTTTGCGCTGCTCCTTCCATCCTCGCCGGTGGATCCTGTTACCAAGCCACTGGTGAAGAAGGAGAACTTGCTGAACCGCTTGGCAATGCTGACGATGCAGGATGCAGCGAACTCATCAATTCATCGACTGAATCCTTCACCTGCAGCTTCAGTGACGGCTGTGGAGAATGCTGATCGCTCACTGAGTGAACTGTACAGCCAGGTGATGGAAGTATCCGCGTATGCTATCCAGCGTTACCAGCCGAGCAAACGCCACACTGACGGCAGTGCCATTGACCCGAGTGGGTTTGGTATGCAGCCTGTGGCAGCCTCTGTGTTCGGAGAACTGTTCCGCGATCTTCTGCGTTTCAACACAACGGTGATGCCGATCGAGAAGCTGTCAGCGTTGCTTTCCACAGTTCGATCATCCAAGTCGTCGCAGCAGCGGAAGCGCGAGCTCTTGCGCGAGCTCGACATGTTCCAGCAGACGTCGGAGAGCTTTGTTGCTCAACTGTCGAAGAAGTTTGGCGAGTGTTTCCGAGATATTCTGGAGCCTGTTGTTGCGGCGATTTACTGTGTGAAGGAGGGTGTTGCACTGATGACGTGGTCGCTCTATCAGCAGATCCAGGAAACCTCTCTGAAGCAGCAACAAAAGGAGACGTTGGCGCTCTCTCTCGTGCAGTTCCCGTCATCCTTGAACGTGAACTCGGTGGATCAGTCTTGGCATGGAATCCAGTTAATGTTGAAGACTGTGGGAACACAAGCGACACCGATACTATTCGGTGCTGGGGTGTCGAACAAGCGGAAGGCTGAGGTGGCTCTGCTGGACGTGGCGTTGGCGAAGATGGAATTCCTTTTCCGCGAGACACTGACGACGTCCCGTACGAACCGTGCGCTGGACTCCACTGCGGTTGATACTGCGCTTGAAAGCAGCAAGACTCTCTTTGACTTGTTTTTGGCCAAGTGGCAAGAGCAGAAAGAGCGCGAAGAGCAGAAACGAAAGGAGGAAGAAGAGCTCTTCAAATACAAAGTACGTCAGCTGGATCTGGAGACCGAGGAGGAGCTGCTGGAGAAGGAGTATCGCGATCAGTTCCCGGACTACAGTACCCGTGACTTCCAAGCTTTCCTGAGTCCGGAGCAAGCAGCTGCTGGTACGGATGGATCTGGTCTGTCAACAACGGGAGACTTGGATGTGCTGATCACAGACCGAATTATGCAGCGTCTGTGCGAGACTCACGTCAAGTTGTACGCCGAGACTGCGAACTCTGAGATCGCAATCACCAAGGACGAGATTGTCAGTACGTTCGCGCGAGCTTTTTCTCTTGCTGTGAAGCTACGCAAGTCGTTGAATGCGACGGCTTCCAATACGATTGAAAACTCCGTGGCATCATCTGGAGTTCTGGCTGCCTCGCTGGTCCAAGCTCGCCTTGGCAGTGTGGGAACGAAGAAGGGTGCGGTGCCATCGTTCCAGGCACTCAATAGTGAATACATCCGAGGAATCGACTTCCATCGTGACCCGCTGGTTAAGGAAGTTGTGCTGGTTGCTGAGCCGTTGCAGCGCTTGTTGGTCAAGGTGCAGTCGCTCTTGGCTCAATGGCCTGACCACGCTATCCTGCAGCAGATCGTGCTGATTGCTGATCGTATCCGCAACTTTGAGATCAGTTCTCCGCTGGTTCGCACGCTGACTGGCGTTGAGCTGTTGCTGCGGAAGGCGCAAGAATGGGAGATGTATGCTGCACGTGCGTACTCGATTAGTGACGAGCTCAGCGCTCTTTCAGCTTTGGTGACGCGATGGAGAAAGTTGGAACTGTACTCTTGGCCGCATCTGCTCTACGTCAAAGAGAAGCAGCATCGCTTCACCGCGCAGAAGACGTGGATCAACATGTACTCGCTTCTGACAGCGCAGTTCGAATCGGATGCTGCTATGGTTGACGTCGAGAACAGTGCTAGCCCTCAAAATCTGCAGTGGCTGCACCTGAATCATCTCTCGAAGTGGCTGTTTACTCCACTTCAAGAGAACAGAGCTGGAATTCAAGCTCTAAGCGATGCGGCAAGAGAGAGTCTGGAGAAGCAGAGGGAGTTTATGACCAGGTTGTTCGAGACGCTTGACGCGTACATTCGGTCGTGTCCGATCGGACAGTACGAGACTCGATTGCTGGTAGTGTACTCGTTCTGTGCTCAATTGTTCATGGAACTTTGGAGTCCTTCTGAACGACAGGGTTCATCGATCGACTTTGCCGGAAAGTCGTCCAAGTACGCGTTGGCCAACATGCTGTACCATTTGTACAGATACTACGCGCAACATTTGGGCTACTTGGAGCGTCAGTGGAGCGGTCTCAAGGCTCCGATCCAACGTAAACTGGTCGAGTTCGTCAAGATCTGTCGATGGGATGAACAGACGTACTACTCGCTCGCTGAATCTGCTGAGAAATCGCACCGCAAGTTGATGAAGTTCGTGCGAGACTACGACGCTGTGCTCACTGTGTCCATGCAGACTGTAATCGACGGTTCAACGGACAGCGGCATCACGAAGGAAGGCGGTTTTGTTGGCATTCACACTACGAAGGCGGAGCTGGCAGGTCTGGATGACAGCGTTGTGGTTCCAAAGGATGCTGAACAAGAGGAGAAGAGCGAACAGGAGAAGTCTGCAGATGGAGAAACTGAGGACGTGAAGACTAAACCCAAGACATCGAACGAGGAAGTGCAGGAGTCTGAGAGGCCTCCTGTGTTGCGACTGATTCACACAACTGTGCCGTCTGTCGAAAGCCAAGCAAGTGAAGGCGCTGCAATGTTTGACCAGTCTTCATATGTGGAGAAGCTCCCGACGCTGTCAAAGCGCATTGCCAAGTACACGCAGAAGCACATTCTGTCGCACGAGCAAGTGGAACGCCGCCAACAAGTGCGTGAACTGTGTGAAGATCTCTGCGAGACCATCTTTTACCGCATGTTCAAGCTCCAACACGCTACGGGACTACCGAAGGGTGCGAAGAAGAAAGCTCTTATTGACTTGCTCAGTGAATTGAAGACCCAGGGTATGGCCTACCACCGACTACAGCTGCCTGCAGAGCAACAGCAGATCCAGCAATTGTTCGAGTTGGACGTGCCTGATGTCGAGAACTGTCTTCACGTTGACCAATTGGAAGCAGCTCTTGATCCCGAGAGTTTGCCCAATGCTCGTGGACTAAAGAGTAAGAAGAAGCAGAGCAAGAAGAAGAGCAAACGTGTTGGAGGTGTGCAGCAAGTCGAGGTTACGGAAGAAGTTTCAACGAAGAACTCGCCGATGTGGCTGTGGCAGCGTGCTGACGGATATTACTACCGATTCCTGGGCCAACTGGCTTCACTGCGATACACTGCAGTGACGAGCTTTTCGCACGATCTGTCAACCAGCGAGACCGAACGGATGAGTGGTTACGCGGAGAATATGCTGTTCACGATGCTGCAGCAGCGACAAATCCTGCACGCCGTCTCACTCAGTCACGAGAAGCTTGTCGACGGATTAACCACGTTGAAGCTGATGAAGGAGTTCAAGCTGAGCTATCTGGCATCTAGCAGCGCTGTCGACTCCAAGACAGCGAGCAAGTGGCAGTCGTTCCAGCAGACCTCCGTCGTTTCATTGCGTCATTCTCTTCGCGAGCTCGAGATCTCGGTGTTACAGATTCTACAGCAGTTGCCAGAGACGACAGCTATCGTGGCAGAAGTTCGTCAACACTTCCAGCGTATTTTCGAGCGTTGTGATGCTATTCAGGACGAGTTCACACAAAGTGTTGGGCTGACCCAGTCTCTCGGTGTGCCTGCGATTCCTCACCGTGCTGTGAACGCTAGCGAGGACGCAGGTGGTGATGCGGCTATTGTGGCTTTTGCGCGACCGTCGAAGCGCGTGTATGGTGTGTCCCCGGTCATTTCGCAAGATGGCGCAGAAACGCAGAAGCTGCCTGTGGCGATCAACGTGCTGAAGACTAACACTGCTCGCTTCGGTGAGATCAAGAGTCTTCTGCTGTCTATTTCGTCGGCATTTGGCGCGGTAACGACGTCTAACTGCCTGGGAGATTTCCTGACCGAGTACACGTGCATTATTCGTGATGACGCCAAGTTTGAACAGACTGTGAATGAGACCAGTGACTTCGCGTACAGTGCGGGCCATGAACTGGAGAGTGCGCAGGCATTGGCAACTTTCAGCGAGCAGTACGACAAGATGGTGGAGACTGTGCTGGTGTCGATCCAAGACTTGACGAAGATTTCCAAGGAAGCTGCTTCAATGTCCACTCAAAGCGAAGACGAGAGCGAGATCCAGTCGCTTCGTGATCAGCTTGCAACGCTGTCAACGATGGTCAAGGACTCGCGTGTGAACCACATTGCCTCGCAACTTGCTAAGCTGTTGGAGCTACTGCAGATTCAGTACACTAAGTTCACTAGCACGCAGTCGGAGCAGTGGCGGCGCGTGTTTGTGGCCTCCTTGTCGCTTCTGGAACGTTTCGAGCCGAGTCTCATCGATGTGCGCGGCATCAGTCGCCAACTGCTTGTGGACTTCTTAGTGGCGCACAAGAGTGTGATGAAGCTGGACTTTGTGTTGGTACGTATCTTCCGGAACTTGTTCCAGCACGGTTTCTGTCGAACGGATGAGGAGAAGAACGACGAAGAAGGAGACGGAGGAGCAGGCAAGATGCAGTTCCAGGACGACGTGGAAGGCACGGGAATGGGCGAAGGCGAAGGCAAGAAGGACGTGAGCAATGAGATTGAAGATGAAGAGCAACTACTGGGCTTGCAAGGAGATCAACAGGAGGAGCCTGAGCCACCGGCTGACCAGAAACCTGAAGATACGGGGCTGGAGATGCAGAACGACTTTGAAGGCACGATGCAGGACGTTCCGGATGATGAGAAGGAGGAGCAGGACGAGAACGAAGACGACGAGGAAGAACTGGACCGCGAGATGGGTGAGTTCGACCAAGACGACGAGAACGTCGTGGACGAGAAGATGTGGGGCGAGGACTCGGATGATGATGAAGAGAATATCGACAAGGAGAAGGAGAAGTTTGAAGAAGATTCCAAGGTCGAGGGTGAGGCACTGGAGGATGAAGTGCGTGGTAAAGACGGCGACGAAGAAGACAAGGACAATTCGGACAAGAAGGAAGAGGAGAAGCAGAAGCCTCAAGCTGATCAGTCAGATGATAAGAGTGCAGAGGATGGTGGAGACGATGATGGTGATGACGGTGATGACGGTGATGACGAGAAGATGGAGGAGGTTAACGACGACTTTGAAGATAAGTACGAAGACCATCACGACGTGGATCCGACGGAGCGGGAGGAAGGTCATGGTGAGGAGGAAGCTGAGGAAGAGCACGGAGACGAACTCCCCGAGGACATGCAGCTTGACAAGGACGGTGATGACGGCGAGGATGGAGACGCCGACGGAGATAATCCGGATGAAGACATGGACAAGCTGGACGATCCGGACGATGAGATGGCTGAAGATGATGCGACTGGAGACGAAACTGGTGGGGCTGAAGAGGACGAGGACGCTGAAGAGGAGAATGAAGAAGAGCAACTCGATAACGCAGTTCAACTTGGTGGCGGCGGGCTGGAAGACGAGCCTGAGCAAGCTGAGGAGAAGGAGGAGGAAGATGCAGAGCAGACTGAGACTCCTGAGAGTACCGAAGAGGAGCAAGCGGCGTCTACAGTGGCTGGCACTCAGTCTAAGGACGGTCAGGATGAGTTGGAAGCGGACGAACAAGAAGCCGAGGACCAGGAAATGGAGGATGCCAACGCTCAAGAACAAGACCAGGAACAGAGCAACGACGACAGCAGTAGCAGTCGTGCTCAGAAACAGAGCAGTAGTAACGACCAGGACGCCAAGCAGGAGTGGAAACCGCAGTCTCAAGTCGACAGCAATCCCGATCAGGAGCGTCCTCGCGAGAAACGCCGTGATCGTCGTGAACCGAATCCGTACCGGAATGCTCAGGAAGCACAGGAACACTGGAAGAAGCGAGTGGAGATGGTGGATCGTACTGAGGAAGAGAAGGAATCGGACAACAAGAGCTTGGAGAAACAGGAGAAGGCAGCGGAGATGACGACAGCCGAATTTGTTGATGACGACGATGAGATGGAGGACGTGGAACATGCGCTGGCTGCTGCGGATGAGAACCAGATTATGAACCAGCCTCGTTCTGAAGAAGAGGAGGACGAGAATGTCGACAAGAAAGAAGAGACAAACGCTGGCAACGGAGCTACCGCCATGGAAGTCGACGAAGAGGAAGAGGAGACTGAAGAGTCGACTAAGGAGAAGGAACAAGACATTTCGAAGCCTGTTAAACAAGAGCCGAAGCCTGAATCGGATGCAGTGGAAGACAATGCCGAGAAACAAGAAGATCAGACGATGGATGAGCAGGACGTTAAGCCGGATAAGCCCACTCAAAGCGGAGACCATGAACTTCTTGACGAGCAGGCTGACCACGCTCTTCCCTCGAGACTACGCGACTTGGACTTGACCAACAGCATGCAGGACCAGGACGGCGACGAAGTCGAAGCCAGAGCAGTCAAACTACTCACGCCTGATGAGGTTGCAGCTCTACGTGACGAACTGGACTCGTTCATTGCCAACTGGTCATCGCAGTCGGAGCAGGAACGTGGCGCCGATCTGTGGGCCAAGTACACTGCGTTGACTGCAGGAGCCTCGCAGCGTCTGTGTGAACAGCTGCGCCTGGTTCTTGAGCCCATGCTTCGTGCTAAACTCGAGGGCGACTTCCGGACAGGCAAGCGCATCAACATGCGCAAGGTGATCCCGTACATCGCCAGTCAGTTCCGCAAGGACAAGATCTGGCTGCGTCGTACACGTCCGTCCAAGCGTCAGTACCAAGTGATGCTGGCGATCGACGACTCCGAGTCTATGGCAGATAACCACGCTGGTCGCTTGGCACTGGAAGCTCTGGCCACGTTGTGTAAGGGTATGACGCAGCTGGAGGTTGGCGAGCTCTCTGTGGTCAAGTTCGGCCAAGATCTGGAATTGCTACACGCTTTCGACACACCGTTTACGGACGACGCCGGTAGTCGGCTCATTGGCCGCTTTGGCTTCCAGCAGAAGAAGACCAACATGGTGCAGACGCTGGATACGATCTTGCAACTCCTTGAGACGGCCAAGCAGTCGTCGTCGGCTGCCAGCAGCACCGTGGAGTTCACGCAGATCGTGTTTTTGATCTCTGATGGCCGCTTCGACTCGGACGGACGTGTGCGTATCCGCAAGCTGATTGAGACGGCATTGGAGCGGCAGCAGTTGATTGTGCTGCTTATTGTGGACCAAGGAGCAGCCGAAAGCGAGAGTGCAACCAACCAGACGTCGATCTTGGATACGCAGAGTGTGACGTTCGAGAAGGGCAAGGTGCGCATGGTGCCGTATCTGGAGAATTATCCATTCCCGTACTATGTGCTGCTACCGACGTCGGCGATGCTCCCGGAGATCCTCTCGGATTCGCTGCGGCAGTGGTTCGAGATGCTCCAGGCTAAGAGTTAAGGCAAGTTGGTTTTACGTCCATATGTATATGCATGTCAGTTCATAATAGACAAATAGACAAATGAATAGAATAGAGTTTGCATGATTGAATCCACAAACCATCATTCTTTCCCTTTCAACGTTGTGTATCATTCAGAGTAAATATCTAACCGGCAATTTTAGCATCGGGAAGTAAAATTCAACATAATGCTGCAAGTGGCTTTCGCCAACTTACTCCAAAGCGATGAGCGTGTGGTTTCGTTACATGTATTTCTACTGTGGGAGCGTTAAAACTCTCGGTTGCAAGCTTTACTGCTCCTTGGGGGCCTTGACGACACCCACCTGCGCGGGGCGAATGACCCGGTCGTTAAGCAGGTAACCCGTCTTCATGAGCTGTCCAATCGAGCCAGCCTCCTTCGTGGCGTCCTCGTACTCGAAGAGCGCGTCGTGGACATTGGGGTCGAACTTGTCTCCCACTTCTCCCACCTGGTGGATCTTAAACTCGCGAAAAACCTTCTGCAGCTGCTGCTCCGTCATGACCACACCTTCGTGCAACATCTTAATGGCATCCAACTGCTTCTCCGGCTCCAGCGCCGGAATGTCAATGCTCTCGTGGGCACGCTTCAGGTTGTCCGACACGTCCAGTAGCGCCTTGGCGAACTTGGAGATGGCGAACTCACGCGCGTTGTTCACGTCCACACGCGAGATGCGGCGCACATTCTCAGCGTCGGCCAGAGCGCGCAACAAGCGGTCGTTCATGTCCTTATTCTGAGTCGTGAGCTCCTCCACTTGCTTTTGCAGCTTTTCCGACTCACTCAACGGCTGCTCCTCCTTCTCAGCCTCGGCCTCGGGCTTAGCGGCGGCTTCTTCAGCAGGCTTCTCGTCAGCGAAAAGTGCACGAGTCTGGCTTACGTGGCGCAGCTGCACGCGGGACGCACGGGCGACGGCACTGGAGAGGACGACACGGCGGAGCATGATGCAGGTGGGCAATTAATTGGCGGATTGACTGTGGGCCACAGGCTGACTCGGTTTTTACCTCTGCAAAGCGTTGTGGCTTTGACAGGGTTGAACTATGGTTCTCGAATATTTGCAAAAGCTGAATAAAACAATATAGCACAAATATTAATGTAACGATTGTTTTATTCAGAATTTTTTGTTATAAAAATCACGAGGGCGATTTTATTTATTTTAATACTATTAATACTTAGTGTCGCCGTTGCTCTACGCCTGATGTGACGCTGTATCCTGGCTCAAAGGGGCGTCAATGCCAGCTTGCAGGGATGACCGCGAATTTACTAGAGAATTCACCAAACCAACAGAAAATCCTGGCTAAAGCTTTGACGTGTGCGTTGGTCAAGATGGCTCCAAAGTTGAGTTCCTAAATACAATATTACTGAAGTGGTCGTTATGCCATGATGGCGTTGCTTGCCTTCAATTCGTTTCGGACTTGGTTTGGGTTGGCTTGCAAATTTTTGCCGGGGAATTAATAGCTGAAAGGAGAACAAAAACTCGTAATTATTACTAGCAGAAACCGTAATTATGATGCACTTTAGGAGACACCTCCATCGTGGCCACGTTCCAAAACCTCTAAATCATGTGTGGCGAAACATCTTGGAAACACTTTTCGGCGATGAACATTTTCGACTTTGCTCGACAACTCACAATTTAGTAGCTGTAAGGATAGTACATTTAATAATTCTAAAAAAAGAGTGTATCGGCTTTTTGTTGTGTTGTTTTTTTGTGTGGGTGTTTTCATATTTTTTTTTTTTCAATTTATTTATTGAGTTTTCAGTATATTTTTTTCGGCAGGAGGAGCTTTATTGAGTCTCACCACAGGGATACGTTTGCGCTGCTTATCGGCCAACCCTACATTTCGCGTCATATCGCTCAAGAATACCCTGTACAAAGCTGGCTCATAGTCCGCTCTTCGATTATTAACAAACTAAAGTAGGAAGTGAATCGAGACTGTATCTTCCCTCTCTGACATTAGACAAACCGAGCGTGATGAAGGTGTTGGTGGCTCAGCGTGGCGGACTACTGGGCAAGTTGACGACTTCAGCAATAATTACCAATATATTTACGGGCTCAATTTTTTTACGTTGCACTGGGTTGTCTGGTTTGAGGTGGACTTTTCAGAAACGGCCGTTTGGTAGCAGTACATGGGGCTCGAATGGGACGTCCGGCAGACTGTCATCGTCATCGGTCGTCTCTTCAGTCTCGGAGCTGCGTGTTGTCCGCTTGGTCCGATATTTGCGTTCATAGAAAAGCATGTACGCACAGCTTTTGAGAACTTCAGCAACTGGAGCCTCGCGTACATTATCATCCGACACGAAGAACCACTGCGAGGGACTGGCGCGGCGATAAGCCGTGAAGTGGCCACAGCGCTCATTACCGTGATGGAGGATAACAGCAGTCAAGTCGTACAGAAGATACTGCTGCTTGGATGTTTCGCCAAAAGAGGGTATCGATGCCCGAGGTCTCCGCAAAGAAGTGGGTCCATTGCCCTTTGGATCAGCCCCAGCACTGGTCTCGTACTGGCAATAGTCGTCCATATCGAGCTCCAAGGGGAACTCCACGTACGTCTCCAGCTTAACTGCACCGCCAGTTCTCATGTAAACCTTCCGATTCAAGTGGAAACAAAAGACGTCCGGACTGCGAGAGAACTGCAGCCGCTTCAAGCAGTCGCCACGACTGCGAGGGATCGGACGCTCGAGTTGCTCCAAGTCAAAGCTTGTGGACGAGTTGGCCAGCTGCTCGAGCGTGTGAATCCAGCCTTTAAGTTCATGCTGTGCCAGTTCCTGTTCCACAACGTCCCTGTCACTCCCGTTCTTCTGTCCCTTGAGCGCCTGTGTATACTCCTTCCTCGTCACTTCCAGCTCGCCTACGACACTGCAATAGCTGCATTCTACGTCTTTAATAACCTCCGCTTCCGTATACAACCGTAGCGCATCTGTCAATCGAGAAACTTTCTTGTCTCCTGGTGCCACAATGGACAACGATACGTCCAGGAAGGGCTGATTATTGAGCGGTCGGTAGCGATGGCACCTCGCGCACTGCAGTAAGTTGACTTGTAGTCCTTGTAGTGGGTTCCAACTGCGCTTATTTACGGCCTGATTAAGCCGCAGATCGCTGATGGAGTCGGATATGGACATATCTCGTGGATTCAAGTCCACGAGGCCTTGGTCCTGTACGGCACAGCGGCGTTGCTCGCCCCTTACAAGCTTGAAGAGGAACTGAAGTAGCTCCTGTGCGTCCTGCTGCTTGTTACCGCGGAAGGCGCGGAGTTTGCTGGTCAGCTCGGCGTTCAGAATGCGGGGCGTCACCACGCACGGCGTGTCACGAGGCGCCAGAGCCTCCAGACAGTCGCGTAAAGCGCCGGTGAACGCGATACGACGGCGTTCGACGCGCGCGCGCTGGTCGATCTCTTCGAGAAACTCGTGCACACTCGGGAGCGATGCTAGCGCCTGCAGGATGGCGTTGAAGAAGCACGTATTGCCCAGGTTCTGCAGCCCCGGCACCGCCATGGCGAGGGCTTGATGGCTAGAAGGGAGACTGAGTTGGTGAAGAGGTTTCGACCAATAAGGCGAGAGAAAGATTCTAGCCAATCATTAAGGAAGTAGCATGTTGAAGTGGATGTTGCGTTTTGACCAATAGAAACAAAATTAATTGTAGTTACACGAGCCATTGCTCACTGTCGGTCTCGACGTCAGCGTCGAGTTCCACCTGCATGAACGACGCGTTAAATGCGAGCTATTACACGATACGTTCAAGTACACACGTACCGGAGTTGTTGAAGTTTTCTGTGAGAGTGTTTCTGCTTGGGTGCTGACGATCGTCGATAGTTCCGTCAGCTCAGCGTTCATCTTTTCGATGTTGAGCTGAAGTGCTCGAAGATCGGAGCGTTTGCTTGTCGAAACTGCACCTCCAGTGTAACTGGACGTGCTCCTTGCTCGAAGATATTGACGCACGGCTGCAACGATAAGAAGCAGGTGACGCTCTATGTCTCGCATGAGCATTAGGTTTCCAGAACCTGTTGATACAAACCCTGGAATTCCGATACGAGCTGCACACTCGACACGTTCAGGACTGTGAGATCTCTCTGCCTGCCCGATTATGACAGCTACCATTGATGAGAGATCGTTCTGCGACGCCTTGATGCCGGATGAGACCACCTTGAGCTCGTGGTGAACCCCTTCATGAGTACAATCTTCACTTGAACGAGAAAAAGGGGGTTGCTCCCCACTAGTAATTTCGAGTGCTAATTGGCGACGAGCGATGGCTGCAACACATCGTAACAAGTGCAGATCAATGTCTTGAAACAGTTGTGCGCGCCAACCTCGAGCCGTCAGAGCTGCTTCGTACGCTCCAAACTCCACAAAGTGGCCACAGCCGTCAGCAACGACGAAAGGGATTTTCTCCTCTTTCACACTGCACTGAGCTGCAAATGTTGCAACTTTTGTGTCAACTTTCTTGCGTGGCTTTCGCACTTGACATTTGGCTTTAGCTTTCGCCGCTGTCTTGCCGTTAGCAGTCGAAATTTTCTTCCGACGTTTCTGCTTTGGTTGGTGATCTAGCGATGCTTTTGGTGCATCGGAGGGCTCCTGTAACAACTCTCCAGATTTTTCTTTTGCTTGCGGCACCGTCGACTCTACATTATCAGTCCTTGTGTCTACTGCGTTTTGCCGCACCGGAGCAACAAGAGGAAGTGGTTGATCTAGAATTTCGAAGTCAGACTCTTCGTTAATATTGGTTTCTGTTGAATAGCCTTCATCGGGCAGCAAGAAGTGCAGTCCACCTGAGAAGTATGACCAAGTATTAGTATCATCCCCGTGCTTTTTCAGTGAATCATTGCTCACCTTTTTCCAGAATGTAAGCGTAGAGTTCACCCTCGCCTACGAAAAAATCTTCACCCTGTAGTGCCAAGTCGCCTTTGGCTTTACCTCCTGGGACGTAGTAGAGTTTGTGTTCCTGAAGAGCCTTGGGGTCACACACCTCCCAGTCCCGGTCTTTGAGGATTTTCACCACTTCTTTTCCTCGGAGACCAATCCGCTGAAGCAGTTCGGAAGGCTTTCCGAACGGGTCAGGATTGCGCCGTCGATTCCGTGAAGACTCCATAGGCAGTTCAGGGTGATCCGAGACGACACTTTCGTCCCGCGTCTCCTCACAAGGATTCAGGACCGACGCGAACGAAAACAACTCGGTCATGCTACAGCCAAAGATTGATGTGGGATAGTGCCGTGCTCTTCTGAGTGTGATATGAAAAACTAAGCGAGAAAGGAAGTGTGTTCGACTATGCCATCATATGTGTTTGAAAGGAGAGACTATTCGACATTCTAGCGAATTCACATGTCAAAACGAGTCATCTTATTATAGAAACAATGAGGAACGAACCTCTTTAAGAAATAAATTGGAGCAACTTAACCGAATTCATCGAATCTCTTTTCGTTTACGTCTCCAACATGAACACCATCTATCTTCCGGGAGCAATGGTGAGGTTTCTCTTAGTTTTACCGCAGATTCTCCTTGCCAGCTCAAGTAGTTCTCTCGTAGTTTTGTCGATGTGTCGTTGAAGGGGTCGCAAGTCTGACGCTTTGGTGCTTCGATCCGAGGAATATGACGAAGTGTCGGGGTCGTTGTAGTGGCAATGGCGCAATGTTTGTCCAACACGAAGAACGTATCGCTCGACGTCCTGCAGAAGATTCAAGCGACCTTGTCCAGTAGACACGAAGCCGGGGATATGAACCTCGGACTCTGTGGCGTCAGATACCGACGAACTTCCGCTCTGTTCAACGATAGCTGCAATCCTGTGTGAGAGGCAATTTAATGCCACTTGAATCCTTTCAGCATACCTCTCTAGCTTGTGAATACGCGGCTGGACATTGTCACTCTCTGAAGAGGCTGCACGGAACGCAACTTCAGCCACCGACCGAAGCAGGTTCAAGTCCACGTCCTTGAGCAGTTGCGCGCAGCTAGCCGTCAACTTGAGCGCAGTCTCGTACGTATCCATTTCAGTGCGGCGGCCAGACTTGGATTGTGTCTCGCCATATATTTGATCTTCACTAATCTGATGATTCCGCAAGGTGACAGACTCCGTATCGTGGTTATCGTCTACAATAATGACATTTTCATCTGACCGCAGAGCCTTCTGCTTCGTGCAACGCTTTTTCGGATAACGTGAAGCTGAGCTGTATCTTTCATCAGAAAAATACTCGACCAGGTCTGTGTCTTCTCCAGATTCGAGTGCCGATCGCTTGGCAGTTGGTTCGACATGGTTCATCGCCCGAGGCGTTGGCTTATCTCGACGGTTTAGTATCGTGTTCGGAACTAAATTCTGACTTGCACCTGGGAACAAATAGCTCACGCCCCCTACAACTCACACAGTTAGCCTAATGAACTAGAAAACTCGACAGAATAGTGCACACCTTTGTCGAGAACGTAGGCATATAGCTCGCCTTCCCCCACGACATAGTCCTCGCCTCGATTGGCATTGTCGCCCTTAGCTCTTCCACCTGGAAGATAATAGCACTTGTATTCCTCTAGTCCTTTTGGCTCACAGACTTCCCACCCTCGTCCTTTGAGAATCTTGACAACTTCAGCTCCAGCGATACCGATCTCTTTTAGCAGTTCCGAAGGTGATCGATGGTCGGTCGAGTCAGCTCCACGTCTGCGCGCTCTGGAGCTTTGTCTTGGAGATGACTCAGAAGCTGCCGACGGAGATCGTGTGGGGTGGATGAAAGACGTCTCCACCATCACTTCTAAAAAAATTTGTTGAGCCAAAGAGAACCGACTATGGTGTTCTGCTCTGCCATCCAGATGTACATTGTGCCATGTGTACTGTGTATGACAATAAGGATTAGATAAACCTAATGAATAATTCTGGACCTGGGTTCTTTGGGGGTTCTCAGCTTGCACACTAGGGATATCAATGCATAGCGATAGATAGAGGGGCTATAATAACGTTAGTCTGCGGTGAAGTTTCCTACTGCACGTACTGTACAGTAACACTACTGTTAAAGCAAATTTTTCTCCTTACAAATATTGATACTCCGGAGTAAGACTTTCAGTGATCGAGGGTTAACGATGACTTAAACTATCAATTTCGTTTTCTTACTTTCACGAACAAAAGCTTTGCGTATGCAACATCTCTCTTAGATGAGAGTCAACATATTCAACACATACAAATTAGTTTCCAAATATCCATTTACGAATATATTTTTGTGCCGTTTTCTCCTCGAAAATCTGCAATTACAGATTTTTTTTGCTGAAGTTGTTATTCTTTATGAAGGGCTACAAGAAATAAAATACTTCGATGCGGTGAGGAGTTCGTATGCTGACCCAGGCTACATAGCGCCATCAAAGTAATCCGTTGTCATTACATCTATGAAGCTACATTTTGGCGTCTCCTTATACCTGTACATCACGAGGTCAATCGCCACTGAAAGCTAGGAGAAATAGCAGCTTGTTCGAATACTCGAGATACATCGTCCAAACTCTCCAGCAACTCCACAAGCGGACGTAACATATCACTTTGAGTGACCAAGCTGACCACCAGGTTCTTCTTGCCGTCCCACCTGAAACATGTTGAGCCACGCATCGTCAGTCGCTGGCCTAGAAGTTTATTTGCCAAAGAGGAGAAAGTAGTGCCATTGCTTAGCTTGGAGTTGAGTAAATGAGGAAAAACATTGGCTAGAGTTCGTTCCGTGATCGTCACTTTTGTTCTTGTGGTTGCAATCATTTCGTTTCCAGCGCACATTTTCAGGTTTTCAAGCTCCACTTCCACGTTCCCAAACCACTGCATAAAGCACCAGCTCTGCACTATGGCCTCAAAACCGTATTCGCAGTTGTACACGACGTCCGGAGCCATCATCGCTCGCACAACCTGGAATTGTCTGCTGTTGGGATGGAAATTTTGACGAACCAAGCGAAAATATTGCACCGCTACGTCCCAGATTTCGTTCGCTGTTGAGACTACAGCGGGTATGTTTTGGCGTTGCCGTTTGAGTTCTTTGATTTCGTGGTGTAGAGCTAGAAAGCTAGAGATCATGATTCGCTGCTTCTTCTGCATCTGAATTTCCTGTATCTCACGTTCATTAAGCGCTAGCGAGTCTGCTATTGATGTGCAGCTGACACCAGTAGGTGGTGCCCCCGTGAGGTGTTTCGACTCACTCCTCTTCCTAACTGGGGAAATATTTTCATCACCAGCCTTAAATAGTGCAACCACATTGTTTGCTTGTCTGTTGGACTGTACCGCTTCAGTGACGATATCATCTCTCAGGAGGTGGCTGTTGGGTGGACGGAAAGAGCTGAAGGTCATCGCGTCTTGCTGGAATTCGATAATAATGAAAGGAAGTATGTTCACGACAGTCGGTCCCAAATTCTATCGTGCATAATCACACGTGATTACATGCACACAATCCGTTAATACCGGTATTAATAGTAAGTGCATAATCGTAGTCCTAAGCGTCGTTCATTCCTAAGGGTCACCAAGAATTGTCCAATTAGAACACAGTATTAACAACAGATGGAGCGGCTAATTTTGGAGAAAGCAGGACGTAACTTGTGGGTAGAAGACAATCGTCGTGCTAATGCCTAGACCACGCATTAAACGGGATGGTCGACGCCCCCGTACTTACTGCAGGGTCTCAGTGGAGTACGCGCACAGGAAAGCAGTGCTGGATCGCATAAGACAGGGTCACTGTTGGATGTCGGTCTGCGACCTGACTAGGTGACACTAAACGCTGCGAGGCTTCTTACGCAAAAGAGAGAGTGATAGTTGCATTGCTCTACGCCCTACAATTCTGTATCCACCTCCTTATCCTCGTCGTGCTTCCACGACCATCCAGTGGCCTCGGCCATACTGCCTATCCTGAGATCCCCGCAGCTGCCGACGCACACGCCCCGATCAGCCCCTCAAGCTGACGACTGCCCTGATCTCTCGAGATCCGCGATCTCACTTCAACACTCCTCCTCGTCGGTAGATGCGTCCCTTCGCACTCACTACTACCTCCTACTCCAAACCGATGAGCACTCGCAGTTCGCGCAGTCTCAGTGACGGTAACACCTTGGTAAGCACGTCCGCCAACATGTTCTTGCTGTCACAGTACTCGGGCTTCAAGTCGCCGAACTTCGTGTGATGAACGACGAATTTGATCCTAATGTCAATGTGCTTCGCCTTGGATGAAGCCTTCTCACCATCCAGCTGCCTCAAAGCAGCCTGGTTATCGACCTTCAGTCCCATCGGCCGCATAAATGCGACCTCTAGCTCGCCCAGCATCTCGCGAATACCAAGCAGCTCTTGTCCCATGACTGAAGCGGCCGTGTATTCCGCTTCCATGGTCGACAACGCGACGCCACCCTGCTTCCTACATTCCCAACCAATCGCCATCCCGTCAATCGTGACAAACCCGCCGGTCACCGACTTCCTGTCTTCTTTATCAGCCGCGAAATCCGTGTCACTGTACGCGATGACCTCCAACGGCTTGTCCGTGTTGTTCTTGTCCCGCATCCTCAGACGCAGTCCCTTCGTTCCGGCGGGATACCGCAGTATCCTCTTGGCTAGTTTCCAGTCCGTCATGGTCGGACTGTGCGTGCGTCTCGACACCTTGTGGACCGCAAATGCTCTGTCCGGCCGCGTGCAGCGGGCCAGTCACAACAGACTTCCTACCAAAGATTGGAACCTTGACACCGTGACGGTGTCCTCTCGTCCAATGCTTGGAAGCAGATTCACCGTCTTCTCCACACACTCGTTCCATTCCTCACCAATGGGTGCTCTCGCTCCGTGTGCCAGCTCCATGCCGTGATCCTTTAGTAAGTCGGCAATGGTTACTTCCTGATCGAGTTCGTAGCCGTCCTCGTCGTCGTAACCGACACGCATACCAAGGAACTTGTGGGCTTGGCCCAGATCCTTCACAGAGGGCGAGTCTACCTCACCGAAGAACGCATCCACGGCTGCCTGCTCGGTCCCGGTGACCAGGAGGTCGTCCACGTACACTCCAACCACCAAGAGCACCCCGGCCGTTGATCTGAAGTATACGCACAGATCCACCAGGCTCTGTACAAAGCCTATTTCCACGAGCTCCTTGTGAAGCAACTTACTCCACAGTCTCCCGGCCTGTTTCAGGCCATACAGCGCCTTGTGTAGTTCTAGTACGACTTCCCCAGCGCTGGTGACGCCCAGTTCCTTCATCAACTCCAACGGAATAATCATGCCCTGCGGCGCGCGGACAAAAATGTCCAGATCGGCCTCCTTGTCGGCCTTCACGTACGCATTAGGCACGTCGCCGTGCTTTGCAGGTACGCGCCACTTCCTAGCCAATACGAAAATCAACTTCACGCTCGTCATCTCAATGACGGCCGCAAACGTGATCCCGTAGTTTACACCAAACTCTTGCTCATTTCCACAAGCAACTAGGCGCGCCTTCAGGCGCTCGATTAGCCCCTCAGCGTCCCTTTTGGTCTTGTAGACCCACTTCGTGTGCAACACACGCACTCCACGCCGGAGCCGCACCACTTTCCAAACCCCGTTGGCCTCCAGAGCGCTCAGCTCCTCCGCCATCGCTTTCAACCATTTCTTCTTGAGCGGGCTACGCATAGCCTCTCCGTAGTTTTTCGGGTCCACGTCGACGACGTTGTTCACGACGTCTTGCTCTGTCTCCTCCTGCTGTGCGATCTCGTCCGCGTTTCCAGCAGTCTTACGTCCCACTAATCTTGTCACCGGTCGTTCCCGGGTCCAGCCCTTCTTTTTCGTCCTTTTGCCGCGCCTCTTCGCGGTCTTCATACAACCACTCGTGGTCTCTGCACTCGCAGTGTCGCCCGCCTGGGCGGTCGATGTATCCTCACTGTTGTGCTCCTCCTCAGCCTCGGCCGAGTGCTGCTGTAACGATAGACGCCGAACTTGCTCGTTCTGGGGTCTTGTTAAGAGTCTCTATGTTCTTGACGTGCTGGGTCGTGATTACGACCTTGTCCCTTGGCCAGTGCACTCTATAACCTTTGGTTTCTTCTCCAATGCCGATGATCACGCCTTGCTGCGCACGATGCGAGAAGTTCTTATTGCGTGGGTCGCGGTATACCGTGCATGGCGAACCAAAAACAACGATCTCGCCTAGCTGAGGAGTCTGTTTTGTCAACATCTTCATCGGTGATGCCCTGCCCGGGTTCGAGTTCGACGGCGATCTGTTCAAAATATACGCGGCGTACTGCACGGCGTCCCCCCAGAAGCTTAGTGGAAGACCACACGCAAAAACCATGCACCTGGCCATGTTCATGATCGTGTGGTGCATCCGCTCGGCCTTGCCGTTGCTCGCCTGATTCCGAGCTTCGCTCTTCTGCCTAGCCACGCCTGTGCGCTTACAGAAGAGATCCACGTTCTCGTACTCGCCACCCGAGTCCGTCCTCAACACGTGTATCTTGCAGTTGAATCGCTTCTCAAAGAACATTAAGAAATGTCCAAACTGTTTTGCGGCAGCGTCCTTCGTGCGCGCCACAATCACTCTACAGTAGTTGCTCTTGTGATCAACGAAGTTGATCATGTAGCGGTTGTTGAGGCGGTCCCTGGGAGTCATCGGACCCTTCAGATCCGAACAGATCACCCCACCCATTCTATCGATTGGGGAGTGATCCCCACTGTCCTTGCCCGATTGTCTGTTTCTCGTTTGTTTTCCTTGTGCACATGTGAGGAAGTTCACGCGTCTATGATCCGTGAATTCAATGTCGGAGCTTCGGTCTCGAGTAAGACGCTCAATGGCATCGTAGTTAAGACGGCCTAGACGTTTGTGAAACTCCATCAAGGTTCCCTTTTGCACGACACTGTGCACGCCGTCCGGCACGTTCGCTTCGCCCTCGAGCGCCGCCATGATCACGTCCGACACGACGTCGTGTGGCCGGTCTACCTTTCCTTGCACTATCAACACGTTCCGCCGCAGCCCAACATCGAATGCTACCGTCCCTCCGTTCTTACCGGCCACCACACACCGACCATTACGGTAGGTCAACGTGTAGCCCTTCTCGTCCAACTTGCCGTACGAGATGAGATTATGCACGACGCCCGCAGCGAAGTACACATCCGTTAACTTCAAAATCTTCTCCCTACCACACGCCGTCACACGCAGTGTCAGTGTGCCCCTCTTCGTTACGTTCAACGGCTCGCCGTTGGGCTGTAAGCATGTGTCGTCGCACAACTCGACCTCATCGAGCCACGACTCGTTACCTACCAAGTGCCTACTCAATCCGCGGTCAAGTATCCACTCGCTGTCTCGCTCACCGCGCTCGTCCCTCAGGGCAAGCGTCAGATCTGGCTCTCTCTCGCGGCCTCGGCCACGCTCTGGACAAACTGCTCGCAGGTGTCCGACCTTGTTGCACTCATGACAGCGTCGTGTCTCCTTGCGTCGCTCGCCAACTGCAGCGACGACTTCCTTGCCCAGGTTCTTGCGCCCAGTAGGCTCCAGCTCCCACGCTTGCGCAAAGTGTGCGAGCTCCTCGGCTTGTTGTAGGTAATCGGTCCTTGTATTGTCCACCTTGGCCATCAGCACGGTACGCAGGTCCGCGGACGCGTACTGTGCGATGCTGTTGAGCACAAGGTAATCCGCGCTCCTGCCACACGCTTCTGACACGGCCACCAGATACATATAGTGCTCGGGCCATGTGCGCTTGGTCTCTTTTGGCGCGGTGAACAACTTCATCGCCTGAGCCGGAGTGATGTTCGTCTTGAACGCTTCGAGCATCCTCTCCATCACATACTGAAGAGTAGGTAATTGTCCCCACCAGGCCTCAACCTGCTTGTGGTAGTATCTCTCCGCCCTTCCGGCGAGGTAGTGGTTGAGCAAGTCGACTTTGATGTCCTCGGTCCACGGAAAACCGCACGCCAACTGCGCAATGTTCACCTGCCGCTCAAATCTCCGACCCCACTCCAAAAAACCAGAGCCCAGCCCAACGTATAGCTCCTTGCCGTCGAACGGCCTGATCGAGAGCTTCTTCTGACGCGCGTCAGGGTACGGAATCTTCGGGTTCTGATTGGCCGGTGAGAAGTGTCTGGTTCCGGCTCGTGTCTGCCCGTCCTGCTGCTGTGGTGCCACCATAGCCGGCTGGCCACCCTGGGCTGCTGCAGCGTACAATCGTTGCAAGTGTGACAATGGCATCCCGTAACCGGGTTGTTGTTGTCCGAAATACTGTGGTGGCGCTGCTGGTCTTCGCGGCGTCGCCGTGTAGGACGTTTCTGTCGATCCGGCCAAGGAGTCGATGTGCATCCTTGCTCCTCGCCCCAGATCTGTGGCGAACAAGCTTGAATTCATAGGCGGTGTCGATGGCACGTGGGCTTCGCGTGCCCTCTCGTTGCCGTCAATCTTCTTCTCTAGCTTCGATTGCGACTCCTCGAGTCTCTCAAGTCTCCCGGCTAGCCCCCGCATCAGATTCAAAAGTTCAGATGCGTTGTCCCCTCCGTCCGCACCGCGGTCGTCGGGGTTGATACTGTTGCCCCTTTCGCGAGCAACAGCGGTGCTCTCTTCTTCGACGCCGTCTACCATACCGACCCTTTCGCGGTTGGTAACGAAAGCTGGCGTCGTCGCTGGTGCGTCGACGCTAGCAGCTTCGTCGGTTGCGTTGGTCATTGGGCTCATAACCGGTTTGGATGTCGGTCTGCGACCTGACTAGGTGACACTAAACGCTGCGAGGCTTCTTACGCAAAAGAGAGAGTGATAGTTGCATTGCTCAACGCCCTACAATTCTGTATCCACCTCCTTATCCTCGTCGTGCTTCCACGACCATCCAGTGGCCTCGGCCATACTGCCTATCCTGAGATCCCCGCAGCTGCCGACGCACACGCCCCGATCAGCCCCTCAAGCTGACGACTGCCCTGATCTCTCGAGATCCGCGATCTCACTTCAACAGTCACGGCCTAGACGAAACAATTAAACACTTCTACGGCGAGCTCGCTCACAAGCCACTTCGGCCGAAAAAAAAAAACAGATCAACAAGTGGATTAAACAAACCGCCACTATTCGTGCAGCTTGTTCTTCTGGCCGAGGAACTCACCGAAATCTACGGCACCTTGGAGACGCTACAGTCCTTCCGAAAAAGGTTGAAGAAGGAATTGTACGCTGGATCAACGCATTGCGTCGTGACGGTGCTCCTGTCTCGCGGTTGATGCTTCGTACGCATGCAAAGGACGTGGCTATCGAAGAAGGTATTGATACGACAAAATTTAACACTACAGACACTTGGATTAAGCTATGTCTACGTCGTCATAAGCTAGCACTGCGAACACGAACACGGTAAGGCCAAACGACTTCAGCTGATGCCAAGGAAGCACTTCCGCTTTTAAAGCGGAAGTGTTGAAGACAATGCTAGAGAAGGACTGTGTAAAACTCTACAACGCAAGTGGAAGCTCGCACCGCCATAGAGGAAATGCGATCAAAGCTCGACGAACAACTCTTTAAACTTGAAGCACCGGGACAAACCAGTATAACTGCGTGGATAACAGAGTTCTGGAACGAGCTTACGGTCACTACCATCTCTTGTGGGTTTCGAAAGGTGGTATTATTGATGGATACACGTGTCGTCGAAGACGACGCTTCTCCTTCCTGCGATACAGAGTCTACTATGGAAAAGCTGCTTAGACTTTAACTCGTGGAGGCAACGATAGATTCGGACGACGACATTGATACGGGTGATGATAGCTATGATAGCGAACCAATTCAAAGCTTTTACAGTTACAATCTATCACAATTAAAAATCGTTTCTTAATATTTCTCTATGTTTGAACTCGAATCTAAATAAAAACCAATGCTCCGATGTTTTGCGTTAATATGATATTTTAGTTTGCTTCTCCTGCTGCCTATAGTATTATAGCTACTCGAAGTCGCTGGTCGTCGAGATCTATATATATCGATTCTAGGACGGATTACTGGCTAACAGTTGCGGCAGGGACACACAGTGGCGTTGCGTACCCGACAGAGTGTAAGACATTAGCTGATGGCGACGCCAAATGGGGGTGAGTCCTTTAATTCTTTGCAGTAGATACTTCACCAGATACTATATTATAATTTTTTTTAATACTTAATGTAGAATCAGAAAACTGCAAATAATTTACAATACTATACCTATAAGCCATCCAGGTAGTCGTTATTAACGGATATTTCAGAACAATACCCGATGTACTATTTAATAAAACCCCTTTCGATTCGCAGAAAGGTTACTCTGTATTCACAACAGATTACACTTTGTCATTGCGTCGTACGCGTCGATTAAAGCGATACCATCGAGAGCATCATGAAGTTCGTCAAGGTTGAAGCCGTCGTCATCTTCCTGGCTTTCACCACGGGCCTCCCACTTTGCACGGAACTAACATTGTGGCATCCCAATCCATCCAGTTCCCGGCGAGCTCTACGGCTACAGAGTTTTCACTGTGGTGCTGTCA